GAAGGAAGGTTGTTTGGGAACCCTAAAGCCTCACGAGCCCTGCTGCAGTTCCTAGCAGATACTGCCATAGGTTGCCCCCGGGGGGACCAGGTACGGGCAGTGGATAGGGCTCATAGGGATGATGAATGGGGGCTGGAGGCCTTGGAGGAGGCAGAACGAGAGGGGGAGGGATAATAGGGGAGGGTGGCCTGCAGCAGGCAGGTGACACCCATTCAGTGATAACACCAAGGAGGGCATACATAATGCCCAAAAGCCCTGCGCAATAAGGCGGTTTGGGGCGAGGAAAAGGTCCAGAATGGTCAAAGAGGGGAATTAGAGACTAGATAGGGGCGTCGCCCACGATTCGGGGTCTGTCATAGCCGAAAGGCTCGGTATGGACGTTAAACTTGAATAATAATAATAATAATAATAATGATATTAGCCTAATCTCTTTTATTTTTAAGTACTTAGCTATAAATACTAGGCTTATATCCCTAACGATAATTAGAAAAGAAAGCTGGCTTTATATATTATTAAGTACTATATAAGATATAGTACTAACTTATTCTATAGTACTTAATAGTATCTATAAGTTCTATAATATCTACTTAAAATAGATTATTACCTGTTATAATATAGTCTTTTAGGAATCCTACCTCTATTAATAGTCAAGTATAATCTTAACCTTACTATAAACTTACTAAACATAATTCCCTAAGAGCAAATTATTTAGCTGTTACGCGTTGGGTCCAACCGTAGTCGTCGATACTTAACGATGGTGGTTAGGGAAGGATCAAGGAGTCTTCTTGACTCTGTGTCGTTCACGAGCACGCGACGGTCTAACCGACCCGGGTCTCCTCTTCCTCGAGACAACGGCCTACCTGGCGAAGGGCTCTTCCTCGAACGACTTCTCGCGATATAATGGGGTCTCGCAAAGATACACGATAGGGGTGCTTCAGGTGAACAAGAACGATAACGACTAGGTCAGAGGCAACGCCTACTAGAGCTATACCGGAGTATACCACTAGTAGTAAGAAGTCTTACTGACCCCCAAAGTAAGTATCTTAGTAACTCAGGTTAAATGGATTGAATTGAGCGCGAGTAAGGAGAGACTAGATACATGAGATTGAG